TATTTAAAAATTAATTCAGAAGCATAGGGAGAATTGCAATATTCGGTTACTCAAACAAAAAATGCACGTAGGAGCTTTCGTAGCTATCCAAACAGTATTTTATCAAGCGTCAAAAAGTTGCTTCTATTAGATCGAGAGGTTGGTGCTTTGAAGTACATATGTAGGTATGCATTTATTTTACAAAATTTGTTTCAAATTGTTTATTCTCATTTCGTAAAAACCAATTTAAGCTCTTTTGTAATTCATACCATTTTTACTGCACCACGTCTTTACTAATCACACATTTCCCATTCAGAAAATTTAACTTCACAAAAGCTGTTATTAATTATAAATACATTCAACGCTGGGAAATTCTCTTCTATTTATATGTATGTATGTAAATATGTGCACAAGAGTGTATCGCAACAACAAATATGCTTCATAAACACAAACTGTGCTGGGATTAAACGATTGAGCAATAAAATAACAAAAACTTAGAAGATTAGCATAACAAATGAGACTGCAACTAAAAAGTTGACTTTCCAGAAATACTAAACTGACTTTGGTGGCACTAAAATTGACTATGATGGGTACAGTGTTTATGAAAACTTTTAAACTGTTCAATCATTTATAACACATATGTATGTATGTGGAATTTTCAGAACTTTTTTGGTTTTTATTTTCTTAAACATTTTCAGAGATATTTTACACTTTGCTTTGCATCTAAGATACTAATAGCATTAGGTAGTGAGTAGTAGTACAGGAGTGAGCAGTTTCATTCTAGTATAGCCCTTGCACGGTGCGCGGATTGTACGGTTTGCAAAGCTGTCCCATACGAAAACTGATTTTTACCATGGAATCCGTGCACTCTTTTCACCGTGCAAGGACTTTGCAAGACTCAGAAAATACCCCTTTAGTAAACTCTTGTTGCTGTCAATGCGTCAGAACCACTGCACATTTAGCATCAGCAACATCCGTTTTATGTTGTCGTCGCTGTTGCTGTTGCTGTTCACCTTACTAGTACATTTACACATGACAACGTTTATTTGCTGTGATTAGCCCCAGTAAACGCGCAACAAACACTCCATTTCAAAATTATAAGCGCACCACATATTGACAAATTTACACTTTTTTTAATTCAGTTATTTTTTAATAAAAATATAGTTTATTCTTTTTTTGTGCAATATTAAAAAAAAAATACATTCTTAAAAATTCATGCTTTTTAATTAGATCGCTTAGAAAGATTTTGATAAAGCAGTTTTCTGTTCCATTATATTTTAGTGCAATAAAGTGCAAGTTTGAAATAACGGGAACTTGCCGTTGATTTTTCAATTTTTTTTTTGCTGACTGTGTAGACATTTTCATTGATATTTTATGTGTAAGAAAATCCACTATACATATGTATATAACTAAAATTTAATGGGCTAAGAATTTGCATAATCAAATCCAATTAAAAAGGTTGACAACGTTATTTAGATTTTTAAAATAAATAACAAAAAAAAACAAACATTCATAAAGTTTGTCAATATGTGGTGCGCTTATAGTTTTGACACGGGGTGTATGTGTGCACATTCTTATACGAAATGCGACGATAAAACTCTGCTGCAAATATGTCAGTAAATGAGTCGCTTTTAGGGGGAGCAAATGTTTGAATATATCTGTGACTTATCAGTGCTAGGGCAAGTAAATAAATGTAGGGTAATACATATATACATACATATGTACGTACATATATGCTACATATGTCTTTAAGGTGTGTTTTGTAGACTTAAACTGCAGATGCGAACACATACGAATGTACATAGTCTTGTGTTTGCACAAATTTGTATGCGAAATATGCCTAACTGGATATACATATACACACACACAAATACATATATGATTATTTGTGCACTTACTCATATGCATATTAAAATTTAAATGCAAATCTCTATATGTAATTCCATGCGCCCTATTGTTGTCATTCGACGCTGTCAGACCGCTTGAAGTACGCCACAATGTCAGTCATTGTCGCAGCTTGCGCCGCGCCGGTATGAATCACAAACTTCCAAAAACAAAAAAAAAGTATACTACATAAATACGGAGGGCTGTTCAAACTTGTAGCAATCATTTATACGTGCATGAGTTATCGTTCCGTATATTTGCACAATTTATTCTTACGAGCTTGTGCTTTGCTAGATACTCGTATAAAGCGGGGGTTGTAATTGGCAGCCGCTCATGCACTGCACTTATTACATTTTATGTCAAAGTCCATACCGAATTTTACACATTTTATTTACATTTATACATACATATATATACAATGGCGGATTTGAATATTTGTCACCCCTAGGCAATTCAGAATTTGCCGCCCTTTTTCCATCAAGAAAAACATTTTGAACGATTAGCAGTAAATAGTAATATTCATATTAGTGTTAATTACTATACTATTACAATTTAAGATGAAAAAGTGGTATTTGCCTTGAGTATAGGTTTTCAACTTTGAAAGAAAGCCATCATCATCAACAATTTTTTTTCACTTGTTAAGTTATAATCTCAAAAATACTAAATTAGTATTTTTAAATATTATCATTTAAATAATATCAAAAATACCTAACAGCGTTGTCCTATTTTCTGATTGCGTAATTGAATATCAAATTTATATCTTAAAATGTACAAACACAAATTCTACGTCCAGGGCAAAAATAATTTTTTTTCAACTCAAGTTTTGCCGCCCCTAAATTTTGCCGCCCTAGGCACCTACCTATGTTGCCTTTACGGTAAATCCGCCACTGTATGTATATATGAATATACATGTTATCGCAGACGTAGACCCCATGGAAAGCTTTCGTATGGACACAGAACCTATCGTATGAACTTTGAACCAACTTTATTGCAACCGTAGAGCTTTTAGTATAACTCCTAGAAACCTCGAATACCTTGAACTTTTTAAATAGACCGGGTTCACTTCGCAGGTCTAGATCAACAATTTTACCGCACGCCATTAAAATCAGAGCTGAGTAATTGACTTGTAAGTTTAACCACAAAGTCTTTAGCCTCTTGCCTCATTATAAGGTATCCATACTATGATCTAAACCTAGCGCTCGTATCTTTTTTCGGACAAAAAAAAACTTTATATTAGTGCGAAAAAATCCATTTAGCAGTATCTCCATTACAAAAAAAAAACATCTTTTTAGAGTACAGTATTTTTTGCAGGGTTTTCAATAAAATAAAGGAATTCGTGATACTATGTGCACCTGTTGTACACTCCGAGGCAAAATGATACAGTCTAACAAAAGCCAAAAAAAAATTAAAAAAATTAAACATATGTAGTTACTATGTTCTACTATTGGTTTTGTATGAAAGAATATAATAGCATCGGCGAAAAAAATTATCAAAAATCAACGCGAATTCTTAAGGCTCCGTTATGCATACTTGGCATTGCTCGAGAGTTGTCACATAAAGAATCTGTTAAATCAGCTTCGCTTGTAAGCGGTTACCCAACGCACAGCATTACATACGTGAGTCTGTTGGTTATTGATATCTACGTAAAAATGGTATAGCAATGCATGCACTGCCAAGCATGCATAACAGAGCTTTTAGGCTCTTGAAACTTAGACATTATTACTAAAATTTATTGGGATACAAAACCGAGTTCTTGGATTTTTTATAAAAATTATGAATAAAAATTGTGTTTTTGTGAAATTTTTTATTTCTCTGCAAAGTTTGAAATGTGGATTTATATTTTGTTAAGTATTATATAATTAACTAGGCTCTAATAAAAAATTAGTAAACATGAAAACAAGAAAAATATTCACAACTGGTCAAATGTCGTTTAGTGAAATAAAATTTTCTATGTAGCTCTTGTTATTTACGACATAGGGCAAAAAATTAGAGTTTCATGACAAAATTGGGTTTAGTGACCCGTACAACTTCGCTGGTGGGGGTTAGGGTTACGCCGCAATGGTGTAGAGCATTCAGTTCTGCAAAAATCCTATAATTGACCAAGATTATACCACCTAATATTAATATTAAGGGCTCAAATTTTCAGAGAATATTTTTTTTAGGTATTTCCCATAAAATTTCGAAGTGGGATCACTTAATATATATATTATGGGCTAAAATTTTCGGGAAATTTTTTAGGTATTTGCCAAAAAAATTTCGAAGAGGGAGTGAATAAAAAATAGTCGCGAAGAACAGGTAGCAAAAAAAAAATATTTGTTCGTATAAAGGCAGTATATTGGAAAAAATTGGCATTATCCATTTATGGAATCCAAAAAAAAGTAGTATACTGCAAAAAAATATATATATGTAGATACGAGCGTTATCTATAACACACGTGTGTCAGCCTCTTAGTTACAGAGAAATCCGGTTAAGCTAAGAACTTCCTTTATTTCCATGAGTAATCTTGTCCTAGTTCTCTCCTACCGTCACCTATCAGTTAAATTTTTTTGTAAGTATATATTTGTATGTAAATAATTATACTTCTTTATTGCCATTGTAACAGCCTAAGCGATTTTGGCCGAGTGCAACAAAACACGCCAGTCGGTGCTCCTCTATGTTACCTGACGCTAATTTGAAATGCCAAGTGAAGCCAAGTTCTTCTCCAAGTGGTCTTTCCATTGCCTAGTAGGCCTTCCTCCTCCTCTGTTCATGTATGTATATCAATTTTACAATTATCTTGACCCAAGCGTCATCTAGCGGGACCAACTACTTATATCTACAAACCGAGGCGAACCTTTTATTTAGTACAAACAAAAAAATTATAAAAATCGTTCAAAAAGCTTATGAGGATAAGAATTACGAAGACGCCTATTTACCATTGCAATCAAATTTCCTATAGGGTCACATTCCTTTGTATGTGATTGTCGTCGTATTTTTACTTTTCACATACAAACAATTGCAATCAATCAAAAAATGCATCAAAAACAAAAACAAATGCAATACAAAGAAAAAAAAAACACAAACAAGAAATTCTTACAAACTTAATTAAAGGAATTTTAATACATAATTTTTATAGTTGTTACACACGCACGCCATACCATTTGTCGTTTGATGTGTGCAATTCGTTTTATTTCCTACTTTGCTGCCAAGCTGCCAACTGCCGTTGAGTACTCAATCAAATTATTGAGCTTAATTCGCTAAAAAGTGCAAAACTTGTGGGCGACTGCTGACTGCTGCTTCACTATTATTGCTTCTTCACTTCAGCTTATGCGCTTACAAAAGGTCAACGCGTAAATGGAAACTCGGCGCACATTCACCTTTCTTAATATCGTCGACTACTACTCGTATTACGGCGCTTGGTTATAAATATATTCAAATAATTCGATACAAATTCAATGAGGCACTCGGCGGCACAAGTTGACTGCGGTGGTTGAAGGTGTATTGGAGGCGGTGGAAATTCTTTCTTTTTTTTTGTTTGGGTGGAGGAAAATCGATCGAAAATCGTCGATGCAATCAAAACAATGAAGCGAAATCAAACGTGTTTATATGTACTGCACTGTGTGCTATGTATTTGTGTTAGTGAAAAGGCACAGAATTGTTGGCTAGTTGGGCCTTTATGACGCAAACTGCTGCGACGTCTGCAACTATTCTACAACTTCGTTCTCTACTCCACAACACTCAACTCTACTTTGTTTCCGCTTCCGTTTACTGTTGTCTGCTGCCGCTATGCTGTGCAAAGGATCTTAACTCCTATGCAGAGCACATACGGAGACGCACCAATACAAGCATACACTAAAAGAGGTCGTTGCACTATTTTATAGCTATTCGCAGACGTTGCGCACCGTTATATTGCCGTGGAGTAATAAATATGGCTGAATTGCCTCGGCAAGCTCTTTTAGTCCTTTTCACTGCAGTTAGTAATTAAATGGGCGTCCCATGGGATAATCTACGGCACTGCACTGGATACTTCACCTAACACGCCTTAAGAACTTCCGTTTTGTGCGCTAGACTACCGCGTGTTTACTTGAAATCACGACTGAAAACGCGCTGCCTGCCTGCCGTCTGGACGCCCCGCTGTCGCTTATTAAGTCCGCGACGTCTACGAAAATTATACACTAAGATTCATTTAATTCAATTCAAATTAAAATCGCAAATTTAAATGTGTTGACGACGCGATTTGTTGTTGCTTTGGCTTTTTTCGTGTTGATAATTGTTCTCGTCGTGCATATAGCATAATCAAGCCGCTTGTGACGCTGCCGACATGTCGAGCCGTTCATGTGTATTTCCAACGTAATAAACACTCCTTCACACAAATACAAACACATTAAGTATATGCGCAACTGTGTGTAAGTATATGTAATACATAAATTCTATAAATTTGTTAAAATTCGTATTTGTATGTACTTTGCACGATTTGTTTTATCGTGAGCTTTTCGTCGTCACGCGCGTGATTCTTCAATTGGCCCGTCCAAGCGCACTCGCTTTAAACACAATCAAACAAAAAAAAAAACAATATTGAAAAAATATATTCTTTTATATTTTTGCATAAGAAAACGCTTAA